GTCTCTTCTGTGAAATTAGATTGTACACAATTAAATATGACTGTTCTTCATAGTTTGCTGTTCTAGCATAGCCATAAAATGTATCAATGTATGTGTATATATAAATATTTGATGACCGACACTTATATTATATATTTAATCAGCCATGTCAGAACATTAAAGGTAGATGGCTCCTAAAGTAACAATATAATCATGATAATACTTGTGAAGTATTTTACAAACAAACCGTGGCCTCAGCACAGATCTTGTATCCGTATCAGTATTCTGGAAACCACTTTTTCTTTAAAGATCCCAGATAACATTTGTGTTTTGCAGTTGCTTCCTTTCCTCTTTTCAAGATATATTTTAATAATGACAACTACCTGTAACAACAATCTTCACCATTCATCTCACAGAAAAACAACCTTAGTACTATACCTCTAAGTTATGTATCTTCATTGGTCTGCAACTTGTGTAGCATTGCATACTGCAAGCAAGATCTACTAATTCTGAGAGACTGAACATTTCACAGCTAGTATAGTTGTTTTCCCCCTGGGACTGCCTCACCATTTGGAATGACTTTTATTCATGTAATATAGCTCCCATATCTGTTCCAAGTCCATTTTTCTTTCTGTCTTTTAGCCAGTCTATGAGAGTGGAATAGCCATGAAATAATGAGCTTAATATACTGATTTGCAGTCCCAAGAGGAATTTACATAAAGTGAAGTTGTTCATATTTACTGAAAAGTGGTGTTATCATTTTTTTTAATTCTATTATTATGATACTATGATGTTCCATGTAAATTTTCATGTGCTGGCATGCCTACAAGTTAATAGTGTAATAGAATGCTCAGCTCTCAACATTAGGATGTTTTTAAGGTGAATTGCATTACATATGCCATCTATTTGCAGAAAGAATATGGGGTTTGGCAAAGCTACCTGCTGAGCAACATAATAAGAATTTTGTACAAGGTACAAGTTACTGATTATTATTGTATTTTATTTTTCTATGATTTCCTAAGAGGCATTATCAGGTCTTACAGATGGGGTAAGCCTGTTTATTAAGATATTTATTAGCAAATAAAAGTTACAGTACTGGTGGTTATTTCTGAGTCGATGTTTTTGTCTTGCCTTTATTTATGGATATGATGATACCCAGGGAGGTCTGTCATCCAAAAGAAAGCCTCAAACCCTCAGCTGCTCAGGGTTGCTACTGTACTTCAGGGTGTGGGCATGGGGGAAAGTTGCAGCGAAAGAGCACTTGGTGCTCTTACACTTACCACTTAACATTTACGGTGGTGGTTTGCAACATTGTTCACTATCACAGTTGTTCACTGATCCACACAACTTCTTCCATGTAACTCCTCTTTTGTTTTTGAAAACTCTCACTAAAATGTATGGTTTTGTAACTGACCACATTATTTAAATAATGTCAAGGCGATGCACAATGATTCACAAGCAGGTAAAGACCACCAAGTAAATATTCAGCCCCTATCTCATGAGGTTTAAAACGTAAAATTTAAATTCTCTCTATGCCATGATGCCATGTTTAGCCTAAACAGGCTGTCCTCCCCAGTGCCAGTTACTGTTACCATCTAGGCCACAGGCTGGCTTAAGGCTTTCCCTCTACATTGCACATCCACCAAGGGCCTGCTTAGGAGCGCGGGGCGCTCTGCACCGCTGACCCTGCTACCTTGCTCTCTCGCTGACCGCTATCGGGCTTTTCTTTGTACCGTTAAGAATAATCACCAGGATGATTCCTCCGAGCGCTCCCGCTGTAGCTCTGCTATAAGGGAAGGCAGCTC